GGGAGAACATTTTTCTCCGTTTTCTTCTCTAGGGCTTTTTTGTTTAAAAGAAAGAAAATATACATATATATATATATATATATATATATAAAAATAAGTATCAAATTGCTAGAGAATGAGTTTATTGTTATGTAACTAAAGACTGTCATATTGGGAACAGGCTATAGATATGGACGGGGGAAAGAGGAAGAGGGATAAAAAATACCAACTACAGTGTGCAGTAGACTATTCTTTGTACTGTACAACATCTATGAATTCCAGACTGTTGCGTATTCACAGTTTCAGGGTGCACTCTTTACTATACATTGTTCACACTTTATAAACTCCCAAAGTCAAAAATACACAGTTGTGATGTCTTTCCAAGGGTCATACTCTTAATGAAACAAAACCAGTTTCATCAGAACTTTCAAAAACACTTCAAGGAGTCCTTTTCTATGATAGGTTTCATCCTTGAATCCCAACTGTAGAATCATGCTCAAAAACGTATATATTTTTTATAACAGAAGAGATCTGTGTGTAAAATTTCTTTGAGAAGTCACAATTCAAGAAGAGAAGAGTCACCAGAAGATTTGTCACATAGGCCCCTGGCAGGCATTAATTTAAATGTGCAGTGCCGCACATTCAAGACCTGGCCTGGCAGGATGTGCAATTTTGGGTATCTGAGATGAAACTTCTGAGTTCCCATTGCACACCTGGGCTTTTACAGTCACATCATACAGCTTCCTATTAGTCCCTGCTCACAACATTGGGCTTCACAATGCAGTTTTAACATGCTATACATTCAAATTAAATCACCACACAAACCAGCCACAAAGTTGTTCCTTTAAATGTGGAATATCTTTATGGCTAGGTTCTCATTTTTTATTGCAAGATAAATTGATTGAATGTGTGGTACATTAGCATTTATTGCACAATTAACGTATTAATTGCATGATCCATGTCATGTCTGCCAGAAGCCTTACACTGTAAGTAGTGGAACCTTTTTTTTGTCAAGATTCTAAAATATATTTCTTTTTAAGGAGAAATCAACCTTGCCTAAAATGCGAATGTTTCAGGAAAATGGATCACCTGAAAATGTGGAATTAGAAAAATGGTTTCCACTATAGCAGTGGACCCTTTTTCTCAACCTTTTTTGTACCAGGACCCGTTTGTAAACATCAATGGCCAGTCCCAACCCAGTGCCCCTCACTCCCGAACCCCAGCCCTCCAGTATGTGGGGCATGATCAGGGGTCGGGGGGTGTCTGTGGAGCCTGGGGGACCCCAAGCAGCAGGCTGGAACTTTGACAGCTTGCAAGGAAAAAGCCACAGTTTCCCACACTTCTTTAAAAGAGAATCAATTTTTAAAGTTTGTTGATCCATTTTTACAGTTTGTCCACAACCCTTTCATATAGTCTTGCAACCCACATTTGGCTCTCAACCCACAAGTTGAGAGAGACTGCACTGTAGTACTGTTATAGAATGATCTTTGTAATAGTACTGTTTATCCACTATATGAATGTGGTGTTTTGTTTTGTTTTTTAAAAAAATTTAGGATATTTAGAAAGATTCTTATTACATGCAAAGACTTTTTGTTTGTTCTTAATGAAGTGGTGTTGCTTGAAATCTGTTTGGTGTCCCATGAAATCAAAAAATGGTTTGTGGTAATGAAGTTTTAGACTTGCATGGTAACAAACTTGCTCATTTTAAAATTGTCAACAATCTACAGTGCCTCATTTCCCTGTTCATTGCTTTTTGTCTGCCTGTTCCCTGTCCCTGTTACCAGCAGACATCTTTCAGTGATGAGAGCTGATCGTACTGAGTAATGAGCAGAGATCCCTGAAATCCGTTTCCTGCGGAAAACCACAGAATTTGTCTTTTGCCCTCTCCCCACTGCTGATTGTTAGTTGGGCCCCATTGACCTCATGTCTCACTTCTAATTGGCATGGGGCAAATACCGTGTTTCTGCCTCTCACCAATTAGTGGCAAAGCATTGGGCTGATAGGAAAGGGGAGTGCAGCAAGAAGAGTGAGAGTAAAGGTGCTGATACCCTGCATGTTTCTCACTTCTGCTGTGCTTTTAGTAAGACTGTATGCATTTTATTTATCATGGAAAAGCACAGCTTTGGGGGAGGACAAGGGCTTAAGAGATTTTTGCTCTTTTTCCTGGTGGAAAACTAGAATCCCTGGTCATGAGCTAGAAGTCTAGCTGCTGAGAAGCACTAACTTCTAGGAAGGACTCTGAGCCCTGGATTTTGCAGGCTAATTCTCTCCGCAATCAAAGGTTTAAGAATAAGATACTACAAAAAAACCCTCAAAGCTGAACTTGAGACATTATCTTTGTTGATAGCTTCACTTATATCCCTGATCAGTGTCCGTCTCTCATTTGCCTTTGAACTGGTAACATCCCAGCAGGCAGAGGGGAGATTGGCAGTAAAAGCTTTATGAACCTAATAGCTAAGAAAAGGAAGTGTGAGATATGACAAATGCTGGGTTTTTTTTTTATAGCAAAATGAAAATTAAGCAGCAATCTACAATATATAGCAAAATTCAAACAGGAATTCTTCATTAAGTTAAATATACAAATAATAGCACCGTCTGCTGTCTACTATAATCTTGCATAATAAACTCAGCCATATATCAGCATCAGAATCCAAAACCAAATGCCAAAAAGTGTTGTACTACAGGCATATTCCACCACTTACTCAAATCTCGCTTAATAAAATCATCCACTCATTATCAGAATCTGAACTGTACTCTATATGCACAAACACTTTTTCACAGGCTTTCAGAAGCAAGTCTGTGTGCATGTATGTTAGCTTTACCATCTAGGCTTGTAGTGACTTTTGACTGTGTGTGATCCTCATAGGTTTTTTTACTTTGCTATTGCCTATTACTATTGCTAATAGAAAAGTATTTCAGATTACCAGATAAGCTGCTGATGTTAATTTAAGTCCACAATGGGATCTGAGAAATTTTAGCCCAGGTGCCAAAAAACACACGTTCTGCCATGCAGGACATTCAGGATTCAGCATGGCAAGATGTGCAGTGTGCTTTTAATAAAATAGCATTAAAGTGTTTTATTTTTGTGAAATGCTGGACTCCTTGCTAGAGAATTTTGAGAGAAGTAGTTAGCTGGTTAGTATGAAGCCAGGTAGAAGGCAGGATAGGGTTGCATCTTAAAGACTTTTGAGAGAGTCTTGAGTTCATTGAAATCAATCAAAACTTTTCAGTTAATTTGAAGTAAGGGTTTTAATGCTCTGTCTGATATTGCCAGTTGTATGAGACCTGATTTATACTTCCTGAGTACTGGCTTCCATGTGAACTTAAATGTAAAAACCTACCACAAAAGCGGATGACAAAGGACAGGAATGCATGTGTTATAACATTTGACAAATGGTTCTTTTTGAAGCATAGCTCTTAGTTTTCATTTTTGCTCATACTTGCTCTTATCAGGAGGGACACGTTCAACCACTTGACAACCTGGTTAGAAGATGCTCGCCAGCATTCCAACTCCAACATGGTCATTATGCTTATTGGAAATAAAAGGTAACAGTAATCCTTTATGAAATGCAGAACCCTGCAAGTTTAAGTTCTAAAGTTTTATTGCTTAGTGGTTTGGATAATATTTTATGTTTATCAAAGACTAAAAATTATTGCAATAGTTGTATGCTAAAAATTCTTTTCCAAAAATTATGTAAATGTAATCAACATCATACATGATTTAACTGTGTACATGCATGCTTCATCTAGATAATTTAGGGATTTTAATTAAAAAGACAATATTCTATTATATGTTTGGTTTTAGTGTGTTTAGTTTCTGCATTTTCAGTTTGTACAGTTTTTCACTGATAAATTCCCTGATCTTTTTTAAGTTAGTTGCTTTTTACGGATTTACACCCATTTTTCAGTTTACTCAATTTTACCAGATACAGTAAAATCCCTGTCAACTGGCATGAGTGGGGAAGGGCTGGGGGTGCCGGTAAGCTAAAAGTGCTGGTTCCCTGAGTGTGGGGAGGGTGGTTGGAGTCACTGCCTTGGGGGCATGGGGCTTCAAGCTCTGACTCTGTGTGGGGCCACAGGAGTCGCTTCCATGGCAGGTGGGTCCCAGCTGCACCCTGACAGCTCCAGCTGTGGCCCTGCCCCAGGCACTGGGAGCTGAGAGCCCTGCTGGGGGGTCAGGCAGGGAGTCTGGCCCTGCTCCCTATGGTGGGCGCTGCACCAGGCTGCTCCACATGTGTCCATGGGGCTGGAGCCACTGCCCAGGGGCAGAGGGCTCCTAGCTCTGACTCCGATGGGGTGGGAGAGGTCAGGATCGGGTCTCCCCTCCCCCCACTTCTGCATTTGGCTGCGCACCACTCCCACCAGCCCCTGGGCTGCACCATGCCATGGTGCAGGAAGGTGGTGTTGGCTGCTCCCAGGACTGCTGCAGCAGGGGTTGGGGTGAGTGGGGTAAGCAGTGCCCTGGGAGATTTTGGGGTGAAGCACTGCCTAGCAGCTGCAGGCAGCTGGCATCGGCGGCTCCTGGGGCTGCTGCAGCAGGGGCTGGGGTGAGCGGGGACAAGCTGTGCTGCTCCCCACACCTCCTGGGGCTCTACTTGTTCCCACTCACCCCAGCCCCTGCTGCAGTGGCCCTCAGAACAGCCAACTCCAGCTACAGAGGGAACTGTAAGACAGTGGGTACAGGGCAGGGAGGTTGTGACTATTGCTACTACATGCACCCTGGGAGGGCTGGGGTGATGGCCTCTTCCAGGGGGTGTGTGCCCCTGGATCTGCATGCTGGACAAAAGAAGGCCTGCTGCCTGCCCAGAGCACCAGGAAGAGCCCAGTGTTGAGGCCAGCAGCGGCAGCCTGCTCATGTCCTGTGTGCAAATCTGGGGACACGTGCCCATGGGAAGTGTGACACAGCCCCACAGCCCTCCCGGGGTGCACATAGGAGCAAGAGCTGTACCCCATACCCACTGACAGTTCCCTCTGCTTTGCTCCTTGCTGCAGCCCCAGAAGCAACTGATGGGCTGTGCTGTGCCCCTTCCCTGGTCTGAGCCTTCCTCCTTCCCTCTCTCACTGCCATGGGAGCGTATTATTATTTTGCCCAATTTTTAAACCGATTTCAGCCCAGTTTTTGTTTGGAAAATAAACTCTGAAAAATTCTTGGATTTTTTAAAATAAAAACTGAAAACATGGAACACTAAATGTTACACTATGTGTATTAAGTTCTGAACAGATGTAACACTGGAAGCATTTTGGAGGGTGAGCAGACCGATATACATACACTATGAAGCACTCCCCAGAAAAACCTAAAACCGCTGGGAGAAGCAACAACTATTTAGAAATGCTTCAAAATGAAGTGCTTCCTGTTACTTGTGCGCGCTCTATGGAGTGTACCGGGGGGGGGGGGGGCCTGGGCCCTTTGGCAGCCTCTTTTGGGGGAAGAGGGAGCAGAACTGTGGAGGCCATGCTGCTACATGCAGTTTATACATTTGTGTATATTTATGCCTATGGTGGATACTCGTTTCTCCAAGTTGTGGAGGGAAAAAGACCTTTTTTCTCCTTCACTGTTCATTCAAAATGCATTCTAGTAAATGACATATTGTGTGATTTTAATTTTGTTTCCCCCTCATCAGCATATTTACTCCACAAATTTAACAGGATCATACCTTGTGCAAAATGTAACATTTGTAGGTTAGATAGGCCACCTCTAGACATTATTTTGGTAGTACTAAAAATATGCAGCACTAAAAAAAAAAAGGGGGGTGGGGTGGGGAGCCAAATGTTAAAAGTCCCATAGCGTTCTCAAAACATGGGAACAACAGGGCCCCATGTTAATTGGCTCCTCCTGCCCTCAGCACTTGAAAGGGCATGCCAGGAGCCGGGGGTGGGGGGAACACTTCCCAGCCCCAGACTGTTTAAAGTTCTAGAAGTGTGGGCAGAGAGCAGACACTTCAGAGGGCTTGCAGGCAGTCCAGGACCAGAAAATAGCTCCCTGGTCCCAAGCTGCTAGCACACCAGAAAATTTAAAGTGCTGCTTGCAAGATGCCCCAGGTTGGCAAGGGGTGACTGGGCAAGGGAGGGCATTGCCACCCCCTGCCAAAGCTGCCCCATTCCTGTAGCAATATAGCAGCAATGGGAACAGGACTGCATTCAAGCTTTTCCGGGCAGAAAAGACTCACTAGGATAGGGAGGAGAGGTTCTGCCACCTTGCTGCCATGGCTGCCTTGCTTCATTGATACCTGATGGCAGCAGGGGCAGGGCAGCCTGCAAGTCTCCCTGACAGTTCCAGGTTGGTCAAGCTGTCAAAGAGCCAGCTGCTCTCCCTCCCACCCTCTCCCATAGCAGGGGAACCAGAGTACTGTGGGATAGTGGAGGGTCTAAGATAGTAATTCTCATCCAGAGTGGCACAGCATCCTGGGGTACCATGAAGTCCTTTCAAGGGTGCTGTACAGTACTACTAACAAACATAATTCACAAGATAAACCTAGAGATTCAAATAGGAATCTAGAGTGTTAAGTGCATTCTGACCTGTTGTGGTTTTTCTGAGCAGTCAGCAGCAGAAGAATTGTTCTATTTGTTTTTTTGGCTCCAGAAAAATAATGGAAAATTTGTTTTCTGCACATTTTCTGGGGGTGCTTTGAGTCTATCAAAGGGTGCCACACATTAAATTTATCCCATCACAACAAAGACATAGCAGTTTGAAATAGCAACCTCTTTGCCATTTTTGTGACAGACAAGCCACTTTTATCATGAGACATATATCTATAGCTGTCCATATTTATATCTATAATTTCCATATCAGTTCAACTTTTAACATATGCTGAAATAAAGTAGATGTAAAATTTGCCAAAAGTTTCATATTGCATATGATCTAGAAAATAACTGTGTAGCTTACAGGAAGAAGGCTAATTAATCAAACTTGCAACAGTTGAAGATGAATGAGATATAAAAGTAGGACTTGCTTTACTTAAATGAGATTTTGATAAATAACTGAAGTGGTTATAGTTCTTACACTGCTGTAAGATGATAAAAAATGACACTGAAGGAAATTGCATATTTTGTGGCAAATTAAGCATTCATTTTGTGTACATTGGATATTAGTACCATATCAGTTTGTCTATTTCTTACTTCTCTTTGTCCCAAGCTAGAAGGGAACCCCCAGTTCTCTTCCTGAGGGGAGAGGAGGATGTTTTTTCTCTTTGCTGTTAAACAATAATGAACATTTTGAATGTATTTGTTTGTAATTCTGATAAATATGCATGCTATAACACAGGACTGAGTATGCTATCCATTAGTTTTCATTCTGAAGTCATTTATGTCAAGCCCTAGAACTCCAGTTGTTTAAATACAATTTTCATTTTACACATTACATAACTTCTTAGAATGATATTTTATGCTGAATCAAAAACAGGTTTTTCTCAAAAACCAAACCTTCACTTTTTTTTAGAATTCTAGTCTTTTAAGCAAATGGTATAACAATGACAGTGTATTAATCACAGTAATTTTTATCTGTCAGAGTTCTTATAGCTGGGAAGATTACTTGAGGTAGAAAAAAGAGAAGAACAGGTACTTATGTCAGAAATACAGATAATGCCTTCTACTGGTATAGTAGCATATTCCACAAAGTGCAGTTGAAGTCTCTCTCTCTCCAGTGAGGACATCTTCTCACATATCACATCCCTTAATAAAACGTGCACCTTATTTTTGGAAGACAGAATAGAACATAGGGGGTGGGGGAAAAGGATTTTTCTGGAGTCGTGGCCAATTGCGTGACATAGAATAAGTCCTGGAAACAGTGTGTAGCCTCAGGAACTTTTAACTGTGGCAGAATCTCTCTTGTGGTGCCACACTGTCTCCAGGAGGACTTCGTTGAACAGAATTAAGCCTCTTGCAAAAGGCAGACTCAAGACTGTTACTTCTTTACTGTAAATCACTGGTTTTGAACCTTTTTTTCATTTGCGGACCCCTAACAAATTTTAAATGGACGCCTTTGAATTTTAAGTGTGGATATTCATATACCTTTGGTTGATCATGGTCATCTCTCACAGACCCCTTAGAGCAGGAGTTGTCAACCAGGGGTATGTATACCCCTGGGGGTACTTCAAAAGGTCCCAGGAGGTATGGAGGGACAGAAAGTCACCTCCTTCCCGCCACTCCGCATCCGGCCACTTGCCACCTGCCCCCACCGGGGGGGTACACTTACTAAAAGGGGCGCTGCCAGGGGTATACTTATTTAAAAAGGTTGAAAACCCCTGCCTTAAAGTAGTCTGTAGACCCCCAGAGGTCCACAGATCACAGGTTGAGAACCACTGCTGTGTAAATAATGTCATTTCCACATCACAAGCCTCATCAAAATAGTGCCAACAGCTCACTTGCTGCTTTGGACACAAGGTACAGTGTTCAGCCAAGAGCTACAGGTATGAGAGGGTTAACACAAGATTCCATCCCATTGGCTTGCTGAGCAGATGCAAGTATCAGCCATCTTGGCAACTATGTGACATGCAGTGTCTCTAGGAGTGCTTCTTTTCCAGTGAAGAAAACAGCTTCCCCACTTAAAGCATATACCCCCACTTTGTGGGGGCTGGTTTTGAGGAATTGCCATCCTATGACCCCAGCTGACTTCCTGCCCTTTGGGCGGGGGACTGGACTTGATGATCTTCTGAGGTCCCTTCCAGCCCTAATGTCTATAAAATTTACTCCAATGTAAGATTACACTGAATATAAGACTACTTCCCCTATAATTTAGATTCTATATATGGAAGAATTATAAGCTTTCTATATATTTTCCAGGTATAGAATCTAATTATTGGAAGTTTGCCTTGAATTTGTCCCTCTACCATTGCTATGTCAGGGAAAATAGATCAAGTGGGAGGGGGAGTCAGGCAGCCCTCTTGCCATCAGTATGTTTTCCCAGTATGGGACACGTTTTGCTAACTGTTGGCGGCATTTAATCAGCTTCATAGTTGGTTTCTATTAGTGAGCACATGCTGCTTTGGCAGCAGTTTAATGATAGACGTTGAATTTAATGAGATTTTTCTTGTTTGCAAATATAAGACACGGGCTTTTTTCCCCATGCTGACTGGGTGGGTGGGGAACCTCATCTTGTATCTCAGGAAATACGGTATATGCTACTAACAGTTTTGTATTGCTGATTTTAAAAATTGCTTTGAAAATTGCGAAGGATCCTTAAGACTATAGTTCAGAATTATTTAATTGCTGTTTTATTGTAAACTGTAAAAACTTATGTAATGGACAGAGCCCATTTGGTACTTTGTCATATTTACAATGACAGTACCAAAACAGGAAAGATGCTTATGTATAATCTTCCTCTTCCCTGGTGCCCCCTCCCCTCCACACTTGCAGGTACACACACAATGTAGCTTTTTGTTTACTCGCAAACTGTCTTTCAGTGTGGGATTACTACATGCAAAATAAGAAACAAAACTTATTCTTTAAAAAAACAGAAGTTTAATCTCTTGACCTACACTCAGTAAGTTTTTAAACTGATAATAGCATATTAACCAGGAAAGATAGCTGATTCTAATAGGTATCATCCGCTCATT